CTTGAACAAGTTCATGGGTCAACTGGCCTTAGAGAAGGCAAGCATTCAAAAGGGAGTCACCCAGCTTTAATAAGGAAAATGATTTAGAAATCCTAGTTTGTGCTTTTTGTCTTTTGTACTTTCTTCTGCTTTGGAAACATTCATCTTCTATTTTCTAAATTTATGTTCTCATTTCTCTTTATTCCCTGGAGTCTGCCCTTGTACATTTACATACAATGAGCTGCTCTTTTCAAACCCTATCTCTAGGACATCTATTTCCTTCTTGCAAACACTGACACCATCCAGTCAGCCTGCTAGGTGTCCTGAACTAGGAATCTCTGTGTAGCCTTAAAAGCATCAACCGTTTTCTGGTATATTTCACTGGATACCTCTCTCCATGCAATGTACTCTGGCCTCAGCTAAGCCAGGTAAACCAGACTAAATACCTCTTAATCCCAGAGCTGAAAAAGTAAGGATCCAAGATGCAGATCAACTGAGGAGTCCCCGTGCTGTAAGGAATGAGAAAAGCCTGTGGGGAGCTAATAAGGAAAAACGAAGGTTTTTCGTTTCTTGAAAGAAAGTGATGGTATTGATTTTTCTCCTATTATTTTCCCTGCTTAAAATTCTAGTGATGCCAATGATTATCACAGAGACTATGTAACCCTGACTGCAGCAATGTCGCCACCTCTGTCTCCTGGTTACAGCTTACAGGCCGGACGGACGTGGTTGTGTTGAAGGAACCACCCACCTCCCCTCCCAGCCTCACCTCTCCTTGGCCCCCCTGCCACCCTCCCTCAGTTTTTCCGCTGCTCTTCGCATCTTGAGTGCATCCATTCCTTTGGCACTTCCCTAGGATACTCTGACATCGAGGGATTCACTCACCTGATGTCAGCCTGTCTTGCTTAAAAAGAATTCTAGAGCAGACACCAGGATTGACAAGCTGGTTTCCATGGCACCCAAACGTTTCTCTGAAGCCTGGGGAAATGAGTGGTTTGTGTGTGTGTGTGTGTGTGTGTGTGTGTTTTCATTCCTGGTTGGTTCACATTTAGTCCAGCTGCAGAGCACATGGAAACCTGAGGCGTAGCCAAGGATAGCTTTGGATGGACTGGATGTGGGTCAGAGGCCAGGATCCCTGCCCCACCCCTTTTACTTAGCAAACCTGAGGTCTGGCTGTCAATCAGCACCACCCGTATGTGGTCTGTGAGCCATCCCAGTGCCTGGCCCCACGTATAACCAGCCACATCTAGAGACCAGAGCTGCTTACTAGAGACTTGCTTTCAAAGGACCAATTGTGGAAAAGCTAGCTCAGTTCCAAAAGCTACACAGGGGGTCTGTAGATTGCAACTCCGGGATCAAGTGTCCACCTACATGATCATTTGTCCCCAAGAAAGAGCATTAAGCAGAAACAACCACTGCCCCCACCCCCACCCCAGAATACCATCTCACCCAATGATAGCCATAGGTTGGCCAGAAGCCCTTCAGCAGGCTGTCTGCCTTGAAGTGCTTTCCCTCCTTCCAGGAGATTTAATGAAGCTTTGAAAATGGACTTGGACTGACTTCATTTCAATTGGACTGCCTTGCCAGGGTAAAATGAGTAGAGGATTGGAGTGTGAGCACCACCCAGTGGTCACTGGTGGGAACTGAGGCTACCGTGTCCTGTTTCAACAAGAAGTGATTTGAGTTTCTTCCACACTAGAACTACTGCTATAAGAGGTGGAGGGAGTTGTTTTGTTTTCTTACAGCTAGAGCCTAAGAACAGAAGGGTATGCATTGCTTATCCCAAGATAATTGAATGAAATAAAATCTGTAATAGCAAATGCATTTCTCCCAAACCATCTGCAGCCTCAAGCAAAATTAACACCTGCCCATGTTGTTGTACGAACTTGAAAGTCTAATGATTTTAATGCTACATCAGGCTGGTGTCACTTGTCCTCTCCGAAAGGGGCATTTTGCCATCCGTGCCTGTTGCCTGAACAGCCTCCACCTGCTCCAAGTACCACCTCTGAGCATTCAGAGTCTAATCCTAATGCCCTTCCTTCTCATTTCTCTCAACAGACTATTTCCATTTATATTTTCCACAGGCCTGCCTGATTTCAAGCCCCTGTCATCCATGCTGTTGTACTTTTAGGAGCCTTCTTTTTATGCTACATAGTCCACTTCACATACAGGGATAAACCTGTACCATGCTTGCTCAATCAGCCACAGGACAGCTAAGTCCTCTTGGCTTTATGAAGGCCTCGACATCAGCACGGTGTACCCTCAAGTGATGGCATACCCTCATGCTAGGAAGAGAAATCAGGGGGGAACTCTGTTGTTTGGATGTTTACAGATCTCTACTGTTGGTTAGAACTTGCAGCAAGATGACCTTCATTTCTCTTGCCCTATTGACCTCCCTGAATCACACCTTTGCCTTTCCCTTGGCTACGCCAATCCTTCAGGTTCACGAGGCTCTACCTCTAACTGGGTAATTTGCCCAATCTCATCCAAGTTGTCCCAGTCTCTGGTTTACTTTGATTTACTGTAGACTTTATTCACAGTTTGGGGACTTTTGTATAATGAAGCCCAGTCTCATATTTTTCTTGGACATGATCCTTGAAATTATTAAAAGCTACAGCCATGTTTATCCATAATGATTCCTAGAAAGTGCAGAGGAGGTAATTTTTGTGAGTTCCAGAGTGAGTGAATTCCAAGCAATTCCTTTTGAAGGGCCTGTGCCCTGGTTTGTGGGAAAGGTCACAGAGAAGAAGAGCTTACTAAAAAGCTGTATTTGTATTATTGGCATTGCTTGCTCTCTCTGACAGAAGAATATTTAATTGGCCTGCTCTATAAGCTTTCCCCTCCCCTGCTATCTTATAGTCTCTTAAGTGGCTATGAACAGATTGTGCCAGCTCATGGCTAAGACTACTATTGAAGTAATTAATTTTTTAAAAAAATGTTCCAGCTTAAATAATATAGTCTGTTCCATTATTTCTTGATAGCAATTTTTTAAAGCTGGTAATTATACAAAAACAACTGTGAAGGCTCCCAAGGATTGGAATTCATACCATCCAGCCTAAATTATGGCATTGTTTCTCCCCCCCTTCTCTCTCTCTCTCTCTCTCTCTCTCTCTCTCTCTCTCTCTCTCTCTCTCTCTCTGGCACTACTAGCATTTGGCCTCAGAACCTCACACTTGCTCAAAGCTGGCACTCCACCACACCTCCAGTCTGGCTTTTTGCTAGTTGTTTTGTAATAAATTCTTGACTTTTCTGGTTTTGAATCAGGTGTGGGCCACCAGTGCCTGGTTGTTTTTCCTTTACTCTTTCCATTCTTTCCCATTCTTGTTTGGCATTCTCATCCAAATGTCATCTTGTTGAATTTAATGACTAAGACAAGAGGAAAAGAAATGATGGCTTCGGTGTCCTTTTTTTGAAACACCTTATTAAGAGAATACGTTACAAATGAGTGTGTGTTCCTTTTTTCCTTCTCTTGGAGCTTCAGGATATGAGAGCACTCCCTGTACGTGCCTTGTGGGATGTCTTTGAGGTTTGGCCTGCATCTCAACATAACTGGTGCTTACTCTCATCAATAGGGACTGAAGCGGGGCCTACATTGTTAGCTACATTTACCATCTGAGTGTCATAATGACACTTAAACCCAGATCGATTAGCAAGCATCTGAGTCTCCAGGGGGTCTTCCTCCAAAGGGAAATGCACCTCAAAGATGGTCATGTGCAAAGCAGCCACATTTCCTGAGTGCAGAAAGGACTGTCAGACATCCCGGGTGTCCTGCCTGAATAGCACACATGCGCCCATTTGATTTCTGCATTCTTATGTGGGTAGATAACTGTAGTATGAAAAGAATACCAAGTTAAGAGCCAGTGCTGAGTTCTAGAGCCAATGTATAACAAAGCAAGTGCCCCTGGAAAGTTACTTATGTTTGGTAGCCCTATATAAATCAAAGGATTAGCCTTTTTCCCATAAGTGGGAAATGATCTTATGTGGTATATGAACCATGGCTTAACCAACGTAAATCCTGATGCATACGTTCTCTTGATCTTGACTGATAAGAAAATCTGTTTGGCACTTGTGCCTCTCATTGCTTATAACCTTCTTTAATCTCGGTAGGGCCAACTCCTGCCTGGGGCTCAGGCAGCCAACAGTGCCCAGCCAGGATCTGTACCCACTGATGTTACTGCATTTATCTTTCAGGGTCCCTCTCTCTATGTGATGCCAGGGGTATTGATCCCCTGATTCTGAGCGTGAAGTAAGGTTTCTTGTGGTGATACATGAAGTCCATTAAAAGAAAAGCATTAGAGGGGTGCTGGTGGTTCACATCTGTAATCCTAGATAATTTAGGAAGATAAGATCTGGAGACTCACATTTCAAAGCCAGCCTGGGCAGAAAAGTTCACAAAGACTCCATCTCCAGTTAGCAAGGAAAAAACACAGGCTGGAGACGTGGCTCAAGTAGTAGAACACCAGCCTAGCAAGCAAACCAAGCAAAAGTGTGAAGTCCTTGAGTTCAAACCTTGGTAGCAGAGAAGGAGGAAGAGAAGGAAGAGGAGGAAAAGGAACATGGAACACAGAGAATCGTGGAAACCGAAGAAGCTGCACATTGTACCTAGAAGTGTGGCAATCTCACAGCTGCACACAGGGGACTAGCATTTGGAAGGGCCTGCCCCCTCCTCTTTCTGCTTCCCAACTTAAAAGTCTGCAATGTCTTGCTTTACAAAGAAGGATCGTGAACCTTTCCCATTACTACACTGTCGAACAGAAGTTGCAGGGAGCTACCTAAGGCTTGTTCCCCTCTCCACATTCCCACGCCAATCTGCCAGCCATACCTTCTGTAAACCCTGGCTAATGACTAAACCAGAAAGTCTGCCCACAAGAGCTTCCTGTACCATCCCAGCCTTATTACCCTGTACCAACAACAAAAGTCGATGTACCATCTTAAAGCATCATGTGTGTGTGTGTGTGTGTGTGTGTGTGTGTGTGTGTGTGCATGCATACACTTCTAATCTTGTCCTTTTTATTTTTTCCCAGTTCATTTATGACGAAAAGGTTTCTTGGTAAGTATCTCTTTTCCTTTCTCTTTTTTTCTTGTTAGGTTGTGATTTCAAATGTATCAAAGAGACTAGAGTTAGGGTTTAGAAAAGACAAGAGTATAATGACAGTCTGGAACAACTAGAATTTCTTAGGAATTCTGTGTAACTCAACAAAGACATTATTTTGGCTTTCACCAAGCAAACCTATGTTCTAGTGGAGATCTTCATATCTAAGGTGTTTTTATCATCCAGATACAATATTGTCACCTTCCCATGCCTTTCCACATCCAACCATTTGCTAAGCTTTGGCTAAGATTGGACTGATCGGTCTAAACTGTATCCGTGTGTCTTTCTATAGCAAAACACTTCAGATACAATCAGCTTATAAAGAAAACAAGGTTTATCCTCACTCACGGTTTTGGAGGTTTTCATCCATGATCAGTTGGCCCTGTTGCTTTTGACTCTTTGACATTGAATTCTGGTAAAAACTTCTCAGTCCATCACTTTACAGCTGGAAAACAGAAGAAATAGACTAATCCCACTATTGTTTCAAAGGACATGCCCATCAAGACTTTAATCCCCCACTAGGTGCCTCCTCTTAAAGGTTCCAGGACCTCTCTACCTCTCTATAACACCTCTCTATGGGAATCCACACCTTCAATGCATGAGCCTTTAGGGGCATTCCAGATCCAAAATACAGCAGTATCCAGACCAAGTTCAGCATTCCAAATTGAACATGTCCCTTAAGAGTCAGGATCCAGGCACATCAGTGACTTTTAACCCATTGAAGTGTTTCTTCAATTAAAAAAAAAATAGAGCTCTGAATATCAGTGGTTATTTCTGATAGAAATGTTGGCCCAAATATAGGATATTTTGCATTTTGACCAACTGTCCAAATTTCTATTCTTGAGTCAAGTTCTGAGCAAGTCAGATGTTTGAAGTGGAAATAGAAATTGATTGTACTGTGCATTCTTGTTACATTTTTTCCAAATATTTGATCTGCAGAAGTAGAACAGTGCAAAATAACCTCTTAGGAATAGGAATGATTCTGTAGTTAGAAAACTTTCATGGATTCACTTAAAGCTTAGAATGAGCTAAAGAAAGGGTTTATCCAGCTTCACTTTCAGCAAAATGAGTGTTAACCCTTTGTTCTAACTTTCTGTTGGAGGAAACATGTGTCTTAGGACATCACTGTGATTTCTAGAATTTGAGGGATGGCAGGAAACCTATCTCACTGATAATGAATCTTATGTGTTATACTTTTGCCAGCCTTCTTTATCCCCCATCCAAGAGGGGAGAGGTAGATACACCTTAGAGAATATCCTTTAAGCTACATGATCTCCACATTGACTCATACAAAATAAGAAGGTCTTGAGCTGGGTATCAGTAGCTCATGCCTGTAATCCTACCTTCTCAGGAGGCTGAGATCTGAGGATCACCATTCAAAGCCAGCCTGGACAGGAAAGTCTGTGAGACTGTTATCTCCAATTAACTACCAAAAGGTTAGAAATGGTACTGTGGCACTAGCCTTGAGCATAAAAGCTCAGGAACAGAGGCCAGGCCCTGAGTTCAAGCCCCAAGGCTTGTACAAAGCAATCAGTCAAGAAGAAGGATTATTTTAGGACTATTTATTATTAGGACTAATAGTGATCAAGAGCCTGAAAGGGATTAAAACATCTAGAAGTACCCCATGTCAGAGTTAAGTTGTAGTCAACCCGCAAGGGTGTGGCAGATTCCCTCAGATACAATTCTTGGAGATAAAGTGCAGTGCAAGGAAACTTCTAGAAGCAATTTCTTGAAAACTAATGCCACCATTAGCAAACTCACTACTCTGCCTTAGTGAACAGTAGGTGCTTTGAATGCGGCTTGATGTTGCTGGTCTTTGTTAACAAGGCTGCCCTAAAGACAGCAAGTTATGATTGCAGTTCGATCCCTCAATGTGTTCTGCTGCTGTTCTGCAGGAAATTCTTAAGGATTTTTGTCTCCTTTTGAAGGAAGCTCTCTCTGTGCCTCCTTCATGGCATGGCTGCAGTGGAAGCCCACAGGGAGAGGAGGTGAAAGCAAGCTTTAGGACCGGTCAACTTTAGTTGTTACCATGAAAACATCTTTCCACAACTCAAACAGGATGGACCAAGAATGAGAAGAGTCTATCATTTTCCACTTGTCATACTATATAATCCCACTCTAAGTCAGACCCCCAAGCCTGCATCTGAAGGCTCTAGATGTTGAAAGGCAGCAAGTCACTGGGCCTTGTGGCTGAGCATCAAAGCTCCTGTATATGGAATTATGAATACAGGAGGGCTGCAGATCAATGAGGTCCAAAGATGTTGTGTGCCTTGTTCTAGCCTGAAGGATGTTGGAATCATAAATCATTCAGTCATCACTGCCAGGAAAGAACTAAGCCAGGGGAGCTTCCAGGGCCCCAGAATAACACCATTCCCAGAGTGCAGGCCTGTTGTGTAATTATTGTTATTACATGCAGCGGCTGATGGAGAGCATTTTTCACATGGGTAGTGCTGAGAATTAAACTGCACCACTGGCCCGTAGCTGCTTTGGGACTTCCAGGGATTTCAGTTCCTCATTTAGGGAATGCAAAATATATTGAACTCGAAGATATTTTTCACTGTTAACTTCTGCTTTCTTACCCAGCCAATCCACAGCATTCATTTTGTTGAAAGGGTATGTGTAGGAGCTGATTTCTTTCTTTAAAATCAGATTCTTTAATCTGAGCAATCAAAGCACAGTAACATTTTGATAATACTTCAAACAGTGGATTCCATTCCTCATTATAGAATATTCTAGCATGGCCTAGAAATTGCAAGGCATTTAATTAACTCACTCCAAATCTTCAAAAAGAAACTAATTTCAGCTGTGTTTATTTTGAAACAAGAGTGCTTCGTTTTTAAGGAGGAAATGAGCTTCACCAAATACAAATACAATCATCCCTTGGGGGTTTGGATCCTGGTCATACTGAAGATACCAAAACCCAAGGTTGCTCCTATCCCTTAGAAACATCATAATATGTGCACAGCATTTGCACACTTGCTCCTATAATACCTAATGCAATGAAAATGTGACATTAATAGTTCTGATGGTGTGTTGTTTAGAAAATAATGACAAGAAGAAATGTCTATACATGTAGAGTACAAATGCAGATCTTTTTAAAAATATTTTCAATCTGTGGTTAATAGAGTCAAAGATAAGGAACTTGCAGGGTGCACAAATACAAGACATCCCCATCTTACATGGTAACTTCCTTGGTACCCTTTCAAGTACATCTATGATAAAAACTAGGTCTGCCTTGACCAATACATGGCCAAGTGGGGAATTTGGATTACAACTTGACCAATCACGGGTCATCCTCTGGGACATGATGTGGAACTCACCTTCCTTGATATACCTCCCTCTAATCGCTTTCTTCTTTCTCTTTCCTTCTCTCTTCCTCTCTCTCTCCTTCTGCCTCTCTCTCTCTCAGGTTCTCTGTTTTTCTTTGTCTCCTTACCTTCCTGTCTCTCTCCCTGACTTTGTCTCTATCTCAGTCTCTCTCTCTCTTTCTGTGTGTGTGTGTGTGTGTGTGTGTATCTGAGTGTATATCTCCTCTCCCTGCCTGTACCATTTCTATCTAACTCCTATGCATCCAACAGCCTCTGTAACTCTTGCCAATTCCTCTAGCTTGTTCTACCTTTGTGTGTGTGTGTATATGTATGAATAATCTCAGTGAATTCTTAAGCTTTGAACTGATTTATACATAAAGGCCTGTATTCATAGCAATGTACATGAAAGACTTGCCACTTTCCAAGAGCTCTTTAAGGTGAGCAGAAAAGGAGAATCTTCCTTTTAGATGAAAGAGAAAGACAAAGATGTTGAATGCCATATGCAGCATAAAGATGTCTGTAGACCAGAAGAAGTTGGCCACCCACCTACATTGCTCTCTGTATCACTGGCATCAGATGTTTTCTGAATGGAGTGGTGTGGGCCAAGAGTCACCTTCTGTACCTGTTCTGGTTTGTGTGCAGGTGGGAGTCTCTAGTCCTTGTGCTGATGTATCTCATCTACATTGTCATCATGAAGTAAGTAACAGACTTCCATACCTTTTTTTCCAAAACAATTTCCTATGCCTAGAATTCTGTGGTAACAGAGGAAGAGGAGGGAGGAAGAGGAGGCATCAAGCTGGGTTTCAGTATCCATCGTCATAAACTCATTTAAGCCCTTGGCAACATAGTGAGAGTCCCTGTGATCCTGGTGACGAATGATAGCAGCAGCCCATTGTAGTCCACATGGGATGACTGCCTCACAGTCATCCATGGTTCACGGTTTCTCCATGGTTCACTGAGAACTCTCTAGAACCCTTGCTACCTTTTCAGGACTTACTCTTGACTTTCATAAGAAAGAAGTTGTGTTTCTACATGGGGTGAGGGGAGAGGAAAGCAGAGAGAATTAGAAGACTTCTAAAAACCAAGAAGCCCATGCCTGCAGACTTGCTTCACTCCTGTTGTATTAGTCATCCATTGCTGTATAACAAATTACCCCCAAAGCTCAAGAGCTTCAAACTACAAACACATATTATTTCAGATCATTTATGAGAATTAGGAATCGAGCAGCTACTTCACTGGTGTAGGAGTCACTAGCTCAGACTCACTTCTGAGATGGCAGGTAAGATGTTAGCCAGGGTGGCTATTAGGTCCACACACAGCTCAGGTCATCACATGCATCCTCCCTTGGATTTCTCAAGTGGCTTCCTGTGGATCAAGAGAGATAGAGTATGAAGGTTCCAGCCACACCTTCTGTGATCTCAGAAGTCACACATTGCTCCTGTTATAGTCGATATATTAGGACCAAATCACTAAGTAAAACCCACTGGAAGGCTCCATCTATTGAAAGAAGAGTGTCAAATACTTGCTCATGTATTTCCCAGATACACCCTCTAAGTTCTTTTTACCTCCTGGCATCAAGGCAGCAGCTTTATTTGTATCAGGAATTATATTGCTGATGCGTTCGTCCTCTGGATAAACTGAGCCTGCTTGTGTATGTTTTTGCCTGGTGTCACTGAAGTACAAGTTAAAATCATCAGCTGCTTCCTGGGGACATAACTTTCAAATGACTTTGAACATTGGTCTGAAGGTTCAAACACAATTTCAGATTGACCAGATAGGTAGAAAGCTTAAGGGAGTGCATGGCACCGGTGTGTGCTGGCAGGATTGATTCTGTACACCGGTCTTTGACATTGGTTCCCCAGGCAAGGCATATGGCCTAGTGGACAAGAAAGAGCAAGTGCTTTTCATTCAGCACTGGCTGCAGGCCTCACCCCACCACTTCCTCCCCATGGTACCTTGATCAAGTGATTTGGCCATTTTGACTGTTTGTTTCCTGCTCTGTAAAATAAAATTAGTAATTCCAACCCCAAAAGATTTCTTTCTTTTTTCTTTTTTTTGCTTTTTAATGAGGATGGAGTATAACAGCTTTGGGGGATTTTTTCTCTTATTTAAGCAGTTCTAATTCAACACACCACTTTATGAGTACAATGCATCTTAATCAATGTCACCCTTCCATCATTCTCCCCCATCTCTTCCAACTCGAGCCATACCTGCAGTTTACTTGGTTCCATTTTTCACATCTGACAACTTTATTAAGTCAGCAACCTAATGTCCAGTGTTGAGAAATCCCTCATTGTATAACAGTATTTCCTGCTCTCCAAACCCCACTAAAGGAAAAACACACAATAGTTCTTGCAAGGAATTGTCTCATGCAGGACAGTGTTTTAATGGGGGGAGAGGGTTTCTGTGGCAGGGGTAGAATCCCTGTATCTCCTCCAATGGGAGGAAGAGAAGCATCCTATCAGAATCTAGAAAGTGGGCAGCTTTGTCTTTGGGAGGATATTAAACATGCACAGAAGTTGACTCTTGTGACCACTACCAGCCCCATCAGCCATCAGCACATCTTAGTTGCTCCATCCATATGGGATCTGTGTCCTTCCCTCTAGGCTATTTTGAAACCCCAGACATCAAATTTGTTCACCTGTAAAATTTTCAGCATATTTCTCAAAGTACTCATTTTCTAACATAGCCACAATTACTGTTACCATACCTAAAACTAATGAAAAATGAAGAGTAATTTCTCAATATCTTAATAATCAAATGTTCAAATTTCCAGCAATCTCATAAATGCCATATTTTATAGTTTGAGTATCAGTAATATTTTTTAAAATCAGAATTTAAATGAATGACTTTTTAAGTCACTGTAATTGCTGTCAGCCTACTTGGGATCTCTTCCCACCTGCAAATTACCCAGCTGTTTTGTGTGTGATGTTCTTCCTTCCAGTTCATTCTGTCACAAAGTTCAGTTGTTTGCCTGCAGAGCTTGCTATGGTTTAGAAATTGACATTGATCAACCTATATTGTATTTATAAACTGCTTTGTTAAATGGCAACTCCTTTGTAAAACTACTTAAAGATACTATATTTTTTTAGAAAAGAAAGAAATTGTTGGTTGTATGCTTTGTTTCCTATGTGTCAGTGTGTGACTACTGATACCCCCTCAACCTCAAGTCATACAAAATGTGGGAACTAAAGAAGTGTGTTCCTGCTGAGGCTGCGGCTTTCCTGCGATCTACCTCAGGAATCAATCAGATCTACTTGACTTGGTATCCATTCAGGCTAGACTGTGTCCTGAGTGGTAGTGAATGTGCCTTCAAGAGGCACCACTGATGGTTTCTTTGTCTCTTGTTTGTCATGTTGGCTGCCATTGCCGCTGAATATCTGGATCCACTAGTCCATGAAAAATAGTGATGTTCAAATTCTATACCTACCTCTTACACATTCTAAGAATCTTCCAGGATCTTTTTACTCAGACAACATCCCTCACTTTGGACTAGTTTTCCATTCTTCTTCATGCACTGTGGGAACAACCATGGGCTCCAAAGAGTAAGAGGAAGTAGCTCAAGGGAAAGAGGGTCCAGGCACAGAGAGTCCATCTGTTTCTACCATGGTAGCTGACTTGTCCCCATCATCAACCCACCTTGTAGCTGCTCTAATGGAAAAGTAGGCACAAGGATATAGCAAGAGGGGACTCCTATAGCAGCAAAAGGGACGAGAAAAAGAAAAGAAACACAAGTTGTTTGATCTTCTAGCTGGCAATTGAGATTCTTCTATTTCTGGAGGCTACTCCTATGAGAAGCCACAGGTCAGGCTAGGAGTCTCCACAAAGGAGTTTTTCTTTGTCAGTAAATCATGAAGACTTCAGATCTTTGAGTGGGAGAAGAAAGAAAAAAAAAGTGTGGCCTACAGTGCTCTGGAAACCCTGTCTAGATCTTTGCCCACAGGTATCCAGAAGTTTTCTAGGATTAGTCCATGAGAATTTTCTAGGACTCTAGATCCAAAACATTTAAGGAACTTGTAAAAGCCTCTTCCCTTTCAACGCCAATCTTCATAGTCTCTGCCCAACTTGCCTGTACTATACTCCAGTTGTTCTTATTACCCAGAGATCTTGGCATTTTCTTGTTTTCCTGGTTGGCAGAGTTGTGACTAATATTTGTCTTTGTTTTCTTTTTGGAAATTTCCTTGTGTATCCTTTTAGTATTTACAAAGAAAATACTCCATCATTTTTCAGAATTATAACTCAGAATTTCTCATAAGGCCAAAAGCCAATAGGACCAGGAGTTAAGGTACAACAGTAATAGAGATTCATACAATAAAAGGTTTGACTAGGTGAATCAAAGGGCAGCAAGAGATAGACATAGACAGTCAACTGGCTTGTAACATATAAATCATGGGTGACGGTGTGGATGGGACATCTCATTCCACGCCATGTGAGGGCCTGATAATGAAAGCCCTGGAGGTGTGATCCAGGTGCAGTAGACCTTGACCATCCATGGAACCTTGTCTTAGCCTGCGCATTCAGATTCAGAGCATGGGAATTCAATCCCAGAGATAAAAGGTAGCAAAGAATGTCCTGGGCCATTATTGATTTATGCTATGATCATTTTATTTTCATTTGCTATCCATTCTTCATTTTGGAAGTGACTGTAAATGGTAGTGAAAATGGAATGACGAAATAAGAACAAATCATAATTTGAGGCCTGGGATTCCACTTAATACCTCTAGGTCACGGGAGCTCCAGGGCGGATGCAGTCGGCGTTGGGAAGTGGAGAAATGGAAAATGTTGATGACCTCTTTCTGCTTTATTGCTTTGCTCAGATATAATGCTTGCATCCATCAGTGCTTTGAAAGGAGGACGAAAGGTGCTGGGAACATGGTCAATGGATTGGCCAACAATGCTGAAATTGATGACAGCAGCAACTGCGACGCAACTGTGGTGCTACTTAAGAAAGGTAACCAGTAGATCCTGTGGCCAAGAAGGAAGTTCTGGAGTCTAAGTCCTCCTGCCCATCTCGTAGACACACCAAGCCATCCTAGCTGACCTTGAGGAAACACTGCCTGTCCCGAGAGAGAGGAGATGAGGCTACAGAAGCTTGCTTACCTCCTGTCCCCCCTTTGGCTGCATCATGGGGCAGTCTCATACCGGGTAATGGGTCAACACAGAAAGCCATGTGGAGATTTACCGAGAACACGTTTTCTAAAAGTCATATGGGAAATAAAGGCAGGAGATCCAATGAGAGATGTCCATGGGTTTTGAGATACTTACTCTGTCATACTTGGTTTGTGTGACTGTAACACAGGTTTTATAACCTCTCAGGGCCTTATTTTTCTCTTCTGATTAATGAGAATCATTTTCATAATGAGTAAGTCAGATAAAATACATAAAGGAATTTAGTGTAATAGTCTATAAATGACAAATGTTGTTGGAATATTATTACACATATCCAAATTAACTTTTAAGCTACATTAACTCAGTTTCCAAGCTGCAAAAGGAGATAGGAAATTACCTTTCAAAGTAATTATTGTATTCAATAGGTTCTTACAAAATAACTGATATATTAAGGGAAATAATATGGTAATCTCTGATAAATAATATTCTTTTGTAGAGAAACATACAAAAATACCATTTAATTTTGCCTGGGATTTCATTTTTCATTTATTTTTTAATCCCCTGAAATGTGTACCATAAAATTGCTTTTCAGGGAAAAAAAAAGAAATTACAAAATCTATACCTTATTTTCAATTTTATCTCTGGAGTCTGGGTAATTACTAGATTTTAAAAATCAAATACTTGATATATTTTTCTGAGTATTAGATGTATGTTTAATAGAAGATTTAGGTTTTATTTAGTATCATTCTCCGTGAAGATTTTATTCATCTTCTTGTCTGAAAAGTTTATAATCAGAAAAGGAACTCTTAGGGAACCAAAGAGAGCTACCTAATATTAGTCAGTGTTTCTACAAATCATTTTGAGGTTAAGTGGCTTGGAAAACAGGAACTAGTATTAAGAGAAGCTATGGCCACTACCTATGAGCTGTGAGTATTTACCTTCATTCACAAGAGTAGGATTGGGCCTTGGTGAACATTTTTTTTTCAGTCTCCCACAAAATCATTATGCAGAAACCTTGTCCCCAACCCCCTTTATATTGGTTTTCTGGAAGTAGACTTCTCACTTATCCACTCCCTTGTCCACTCTGCTCACAGGCTGAGCTGCAGGGCAGTGTATATTTCTATACCATGACTTCTTCCCAGCACAATAGTCTGTTCTATAGTGTTTAACAGTTCTGTATGAATATTGCTGGCTTTCAGAGGGCGTGATTACTAAAAGTGTGGTGTGTTTCCTGTGCCCCAGATCTAAGTGAGAAAAGAACCTTTAAACATGAGGAATTCTCTTAAATTATCATTATTTTTGACCATGTCAGTGAATGATGTTTCAATTCTTTAAAGTTACCTCAATAAGCTATTAATAAGAAAAATGCTGACTCCTCCAAATTTTTTCCTGCTGTAACCTTCCCTGGATTCATAGGTGGAGGGAACAGAGATAGAGAGAGGATAGGTGGGTATAAGGACAGATGGATGGATACATGGATGGGCTGATGGGTAAGTGAATGGAGTAGTGGATGGATGAGTGGATGCATGGATGGATGGATGGATGGATGGATGGATGGATGGATGGATGGACTGATGAGTGAGTGGATGGAGTGATGTGTGTGTGTGAGTGGGTGAATGGATGGATGAATGAATGGATAGAAGTGATATGAAAACAGAAAGAAGAGAATAGGAGAAAGAATGAATAAATGCCTATTTCTGACATCAATGCTGATTTCTTTTACCTTTTACATTTCCCTAGCCAATTTCCACCGCAAAGCGTCAGTGATTATGGTGGATGAGCTGCTGTCAGCCTACCCACACCAGCTTTCTTTCTCTGAGGCTGGACTTCGAATCATGATCACAAGCCACTTCCCCCCCAAGACCCGCCTCTCGATGGCTAGCCGCATGTTAATCAATGAGGTATCTGGAAAAGTATGGCCTATCTGCTTGACAGGGGTGGGAAACAGAGAGAAGGAGAGAAAGCTTCCTGATTTGAAAGAAGAAGGATCTGACTCAAAATTTAACTTAATAATATCCCTTATCCCTTTTCCAACATCTTGGCTCACTGGCCATAATTGTATGTTGCTCCTTACTTTTTCCTCTATTGAAAGATATAATCTAGCTCCAAGTTATATAGCAAAACTCCCCTACCTCTTCCTTCCTTCCTCTTCCTTCCTTCCTTCCTTCCTTCCTTCCTTCCTTCCTTCCTTCCTTTTCCTTTTTTTTCTTTCTTTTCCCTCTCTCTCCTCTCTTACTTTTTTCCTTCTTTACCCCTTTTCTCTCCCCTTCTACTCTTCACCCTTTCCCCCCCCGCAACCCCCCTCCCCCCCGCCACGCTGCCTTTCTTTCTATCCTTGGGCTTGAATTCAGGCCCTAAGCCCTGTCCCTTAGCTTTTATGCTCAAGGACAGTGCTCTACCACTTGATCCACAGCTCCACTTCCAGCTTTGTTGGTGGTGAATTGGAGATAAGAGTCTCTCTCATAGACATTCCTGCCCACACTGGCTTTGAACCACAGTCCTCAGATCTTAGCCTCTTGAGTAGCTAGGATTACAGGTGTGAGCCACCAGAACCCAGCTACATTTTCCTTCTATCCATTTGAGTAAAGTCCCCAATGTGATCTTGAACCAAATTTGTTGCTAAATAAAGTGTACCTTAGGTTAAAGTAATCTAGAGTTTCTGACCTAATTGTCCTTTCTCTGGAATGATGGCCTTATTGATCACACTGGTCTTAATACAGTTCCATCACTTTCTCACATATGGAATAAGGATTCCTATAATCTAGAGAAGGAAGATAACTTCAATGTGTACACATCAAATAAACTCTGGAGCAGACCCTGGAAGGTTCCTCTAAAGGGATTTACTAATTCCAATGGATTATAAACTCTTTCCTCCTAGAGGGAGCTTGTCTGAATTTATTGTTCAGATGCTTATCATCCCTTTGACTGTGGTAAACATGTCACTTTCTCTTTCTAGAGACAAAGACTGATAAACAGCAGGGCTTATGCCAATGGGGAATCAGAGGTGGCCATTAAAATCCCAATTAAGCATACTGTGGAGAATGGGACAGGACCCAGTAGCGCCCCAGACAGGGGTGTGAATGGAACTCGGAGGGATGATGCTGTTGCTGAAGCTGGTAATGAGACAGAGAATGAGAATGAGGACAATGAGAACAACGAGAATGATGAAGAAGAGGAAGAGGAGGAAGACGATGATGAAGGACCATACACGCCATTTGACCCACCCTGTAAGAGATCCTTTGTCTGGGTTTGGTTGGGGAGTTACTTTGGGCCAATGAATGAATGCCTTGACTTGAATGATTGTTTTACTATTCCATTTTTCTTTTCTTTTCATTTCTTTGTTGTTGTTGTTGTTGGCTTGAAGTGGGCCTGGGTACTGTCCCTGAACTCTTCAGCTCAAGGTAAAGGGCTCTACCACTTGAGCCACAGTGCCACTTCCAGTTTTTCTGGTGGTAATTGAAGACAAGAGTCTGGGAAGATGGCTCAGTGGTAGAGTGCTTGCCTTGCATGCATGAGGCCCAGAGTTCGATTCCTCAGCACCATATAAACAGAAAAGCCAGAAGTGGCGCTGTGGCTCAAGTGGTAGAGTGCTAGCCTTGAACAAAAGCAGCTCAGGGACAGTGCCCAGGCCTAGAGTTCAAGCCCCAGGACTGGCCAGATAAAAAAGTCTTAGGGACTTTCCTGCCTGGCTTGGTTTTGAACCACAATCCTCAGCCTCCTGAGTAGCTAGAATTACAGGCATGAGCCACCAGTGCCCAGCTACTATTCCTTTTTCTTAAAGCCTCTATAGGAACATAAATATTTTTATATGAAGTTTCTACAGTGGGTAGTAAGACTGTTGTAAAGGTCCAAATATGACCAGCAAGGTGGCCCATGATGATAGGTTGGAATTTGAGTTCTGTTCTGATTCATTGTATGAGCTGGACATAGTGGCTCATGTCTATAATCTCAAGGCAGAGATAGGGGAATCACTGTTTGAAGCCAGACCAGGAAAAAAATAAAATGTTCACAGGACTCCATCTTAACTAGTGCCGTAGATACAGTATAGCACAAACCTATTGACCCAAGCTAGTATGGGAAAGCATAATGTCTGGGTGCTATGACCTGTGCCTAAGGTAAGTGAATTGTGGGCCAGGCATGTACCCAGGCAAGGAGACCCAGTCTCAAAACTAACTAAATCAATCAAACAAACACAAAAGAAGGTTGGAGGTATGGTTTGGTTCAGTGGCAGAAAGCCTGCCTAGCAGGTGGGAAGCACTGAGTTCAAACTCTAATACTACCCCAAGAAAAGGTTGTCTGGACAGTGATCCCCTCTTAGCTTTTCTGTAGGAATGTGTAGTGCTATGGAGGACATGCAGTGACCCTGTGGTGGCAAGATAGCTTGATCCTCCAGGGCAGAAGCATCTCGCAGCCCTCTGCCCATCCCATTACAGCTGGCTGAAGCCTTTCTCCTTGCCAGTACCAGCCCTGGGGAATGCAGGCCCAAATTTCCTTCTTCTCATTTCCTATCCCTTACTTCTATTCAGTTCCCTCTTTTTTTCTCCCCAGAACTTGTTATTTCGAGGGCTGGTGCTATGGGAGGAGCAGAGCTGGGCGGAAATCTCATCTGCAGGTCCTTACCTAGTGGGACTGGTCAGCAGCCATGCTTGGCACCTTGAAAGGAGGTGAAAGCTCTCAGAACCTGAGCCATCAAGGCTGTGCCTCTCCTCTGATTCCTGGACAGCCTTGTTCTCTACCTTGCTCATAAGTAGAACAGATGGACTAAGCCTGAAGCATTTGCTCTTCTTTTCTAGAAGCTTCTGGTTGTTTCAGGGCACTATCAAATCCCTGGGGTGTAATTAATGTGTGCAGCCTCTTTAGATGTCTGAATTGGTATGAGGACCATCTGTGGAAGGATTTCAGAGCCCATCCTCTAAGGGCGGAAGTGAGAGCGGAGGGTCTGAGGCCACTGTTGGTTTGGGTGGTCTTGCTGTGGCTGCTGAGATGCTCCTCTGTGTGTCTCCGGGAGAGATCAATGAAAACCCTAACCCAAGCCAGACGAGGATGGCTCACGCCTGTAATCCTAGCTACTCAGGAGGCTGAAATCTGAGGATCATGGTTCAAAGCCAGCACAGGCAGGAAAGTTCTGTGAGACTCTTATCTCCAATTAACTAGCAGAAAACTGGAAATGGCACTGTAGCCCAAGTAGTAGAGCACTCGTTTTGAGTTGAAAAGCTCAGGGACAGTGCCCAGGCCCAGAGTTCAAGCCCCACAACCCACCAAAAAAAAAAATCCTAACCCAAACCACTCACAAGCCCAGTCACTGCTCCTAAGATGGAAATCTGTTTAGTCCTTAACTAGAAAATATCTGTGCAAATTCTTATACTCCAGCCAAATTCCATAACCATCCAGCCAGTTAAATTATAGCTTGTTAGTAGATTATCTTATTGGGGAAAAGTAAAAGTGTACAGTAAATAGTTCTCCCTTGTCTATAGCTTTGTTTTCTGTGGTTTCAGTTATTTAGGTCAACTGTGATTAACCACAATCAACCATAGTTTGAAAATGTTAAATAGAAAATTGTGGAAATAAGCTGGGCACCAGTGGCTCATGCCTGTCATCCTAGCTACTGAAGAGGCTGAGATCTGAGGATCGTGGTTTGAAGCCAGCTGGAGCAGGAAAGTCCATGAGATTCTTATCTCCAGTTGACCACCGGCAAAACCAGAAGTGGCTCTGTGGCCCAAAGTGGTAAAGCGCTAGCTGTGAGTGCAAAAGCTCAGGGACAAACCCAGGCCCTGATTCAAGCCCTACAAAAGAAATAAAAAAAGAAAAACTTGTAGAAAAAAATTGAATTTCTTTCTGAGTAATGTGGCAAACCCTTGTATAATCCTTCTACATCCCACTCAGGATATCAATCATCCCAATATCCAACATGTCCAGGCTGTGAATGCTACTCAGCTGTTGGTCACTTAGTAGACATGGTGACTGTCTTGTATCATTATGTTCAAGTAACCTTTCTTTTACTTAATCATGGCCCTGTAGTGCAAAAGTAGAGGAGATGGCAACTGCATTATAGTATATTGCTACGATCTATCTGTTTCTTGTGTTATTATTGTCTATCTCTTCCTGATTTGTGAATTAAACCTTATCACAGGTATGAATATATGGAAAAGAAGCAGTAGATGTGGAGATCAGTACTATCCACCAGTTTCTGGCATCCACTGGGATGTGTTGTCCTGGCTCTACCCACTTGCCACCTTTCAGACATGTTTCTTGGTTGTTTTAGTCCCTATCAACCAGGTGAAACCCATCTTAAGGAGTAAATGTCCCAACACTTCATTCTTCCCTTACAAGTTGCTCTTACATTTCTTTCCTATTTCTACCTTACCACAAATTAGCAGTTACAATAAAAATCAACTAATTAGCTCACAGTTTGCAGGTAAGGTCTGAAATATTGCACAATTACTTCTCTCTCCTGTTGAGTTAATCTTTGTAAAAAGGATGAAACTTTCTAAAAGCCTAGGAAGGAATATAATTTTAGAATCAAGTCCTCTGCTATTAAAGCCAAGTCACTCACCGAGGAATATACTAGAATATATGCCCTACACTTCCTGGCATGTGGCTGGGGTGTGAGGAGGAAGCAGGGAGAGAAAAATTCACATCATTCTGGCACATGGGCTCTATATTCTTGGGGCTGGGAAGGTGGCTCAGTGGTAGAGCTTGCCTTGCATGCCTGAGGCCCTGGGTTCGATTCCTCAGTACCACATAAGCAAAAAGAAAAAAGCCGGAAGTGGCGCTGTGGCTCAAGTGGTATAGTGCTAGCCTTGAGCTGAAGAGCTGAGGGACAGCGCCCAGGCCCAGAGTTCAGGCCCCACGATTGGACCCAAAAAAAAAAAAATCCAATCCCTATATTCTTGGTGCCTGAAGCAGCATGTGGCACAAAAGACACCCAATAAATATTTGCTTAATGAATGCCTAAGCCTGTCCCTTTGGGGCTTTGTTTGTACCAATGGTAATGAAGCAAAGAGTAAAATAATGTCCAAAATTGCTTCAGACTCAAAGAGGAAAGATAATCATTTTTACTCTTTTGTCCACAATCAGACATTAGGGCCAGCTAAAATGTGGATTGGCCTTGCTGGACTGCTTTGAATCACTGAAAACATCCCTTTGGGTATCATTTTGGTTTCTTCAAGCAGTTATGTTTCTTACATTGTCCTTCAAGACATATTATAGATAACACTCATCGAATGGCTACCTTTAAGGCTGTCATTACAAAGCAGTATTGATGCACCCCTTTAATGACGCTGGGGCTATGCCTTCCAGAGAGAGCATCCTCCCCAGCCCAAATTGAAATATTTGCCAAGAGGGAAGAATTCAGCTCTCATTTGCCCTGACTTAAGCTGCATGCAGCTTTGTCTCCTCATTCCCCTTTGTCCAGCTTTGCAGTTGTGTGTGTGTGTGTGTGTGTGTGTGTGTGCACGCACATGTGTATGCCTGTGCATCAGTGTGTCTGTGTGTGCTAAGACTTGAACTCAGAGCCTTAGTGCTTGCTCTCACTTGATTTTTCACTCAAGTCTGGTGCTCTACCATCTGAGTCACACTTCTACTTCCAGCTTTTTTTTTACTAGTTAAACAGAGATAAGAGTCTCAGGGACTTTCCTGCTTCAGCTGGCTTCAAACTGAGATGCTCACATCTCAGCCTCCTGAGTAACTATGATTAACATGCATGAGCCCCAGCCCCCATCTTCTCTCTTTCTCTCTCCCCCCACTCCTTACCTGGGAGTTCCATTAGGGATCAGCTAGGGGAGGGGATTTCAAGACTCCCCGCAGATAAGTGCCTCTTCTGTCCATTGCAGGATCTAGGAACATGCAGAAATCCAGGCTGCACTTGGACTCTTGGGAATCTGACTGTGTTCTAGATCCTGCAGCATGTGAAGCCCCTCACAAGGCGCCCCTCAGAGAGGCTTGCTCTGCAATCTAGTCAGCCTCAAGGAGGTCACTGTCTCAAGCCTCGAATTGAACAAGACGCATAGCCCAACTTTCTTAATATTTATTTTCTTGTCTTTGATCCATCTTTGTTGGGTTCTTAAAAATAACAATTTTCTTTGTTCTAATTAGATTGTTTATAGTAGCAATAATATTAATATTGGCTGAGCTTACCTGAGGCTTCAGAGGACCTGAGTCCTGAAGGAAAGCCTGTGGAAAAGGGAAATAGCAAATAAAGATGAGAGGCTGAGGCCAAATCAGCTAGGGTCTCATAGACTATGGTAGAGCAATAAAGTTCTAGTCTGAAGCTAACCAGTGGAATTTGGTGGAATAGTCTAGAACAGTTTGCTTTTTGAAGCTCTGTCTCTTGCTGCCATTGGTAAATAGAGGTAGGTTAGGCATTGGGGTAGACTCCATAGGAAACCAAGTCTCTAGCCAGGCCCTGATAGAAAACCTGAGGGAGAGAGGGCTGTGGGGATGACAGAAGTGCCCTGAGCAGCTGCCAGGGTTGGGCATGGGGGTGAAAGAAAAGGAAGAAGCAAAAACAACTCCAGAGATTTTTTTTTTTTTTTGGTCAGCTGTGGGGCTTGAACTCTGGGCCTGGGCGCTGTCCTTCAGCTCAAGGCGAGCGCTCTACCACTTGAGCTACAGCGCTACTTCCAGTTTTCTGGTGGTTTATTGGAGATAGGAGTCTCCTGGTCTCTCCTGCCCGGGCTGGCTTTGAACCGCGATCCTCAGATCTCAGCCTCCTGAGTACCTAGGATTACATGCGTGAGCCACCAGCACCCGGCAACTCTAGAGATTTTTCGACTAGAGAATTCTGCAAGCTTCTATTGTTCCAGCACCTGTCCAATGATCATTTCGTTTCATTCTCCTGGTGTCACTGTGTCCACATTTCACAGAAGATAAAACTGAGGCTTGGGGAATTTAAGTAACTGAACAACTCAATTCCTACACAGAATGGGGGCTGGAGCCCCAACTGAGTGAGAGAAAAGCTCCCTCGCCCTCTAGACCACTCTGCCGTGTCTGTCTGTGGGAGGCTGGGGTGCCAGCAATGATGCTAGGTAATTTTTCTATGCAGTTTTAGAAAAAAAATAGAGATAAAATAAGATTGGATATTGGTTTAAAATATAATATTAATTTTGTTAAGCCTTGCAGAAAAAGTTCAACTTAAAAAAACGTGTTCAAAGTATTATGAAAAAAATACCAACTTTCTCTCTTAATTTTAGTAGTGGTCATTTTGGAAAACTATTCCAGCCTCTTAGAAAGTGAAGCAAACATCTATTGCATGACTCAGCAGTACCCCCAGGTCTGCACCCAAGAAATCAAACCATGTCCACTTTTAATGCCCTGAAACTGACCACAACCAAATGCTCATCCACAAGATAAGCAAATGGTGGCACAAAGTAGAATGCTACACTGCAACTAAAAAGTAATAATTGGGGAATGTACTAGATGGTTTAATCCACGTAGAGTTGGTGAATGGGAAAAGCTGATCTGTGGTGGTCAGAGTGAGCGTAGACTAGAGAGACACCATGAGCTTTCTGAGAGAGAGAGATGCGCTCCAGAGATGAATTCCCAAGCCAAACTTAAACTAATATACTCCAAATATGAATTTGTGGGTGTCGCTGGTACACAAAATCTCAGGCAAAGGTCCCCCATGCGTGTTAACAGGTCATTGTTGGTAGAGCCTTCATCAGCTGGGGAATCCTTAGTGAGCTAGAAAGCAAGTATGCATTTATAAACCCTTGCCTACTTGGGTTGCAGACACTAAGAATGTCCACTAGATGGCACTGTGTCTACCAGTACTTTATAATTTGGAAAAACTTCCTTTCCAGACTATCCCAAACTGGTGGTCTTCCTAGCTTCCCTCTTCAAGCCCCTTACACATCTGTACACTCCTTCTGTGTCTTCTTTCTTTTCCATTTGTTGCATTTGCCACACAATCCCCTGATCTAACTAGCAGGTGGGCAGTGAATAACTTTTTAAAATATTCTGTTTGTTCTTTGGTGGTGGAAAGCCATTTGAAGACGAGACATACTATATGACTTAGTTCTGGCGCAATGCAGGGGGGTAGCAGAACAAAGAAATGGCTAACTGAATTGTTTTTTGCTTGCTTTTCTTTTTTCCAGCTGGCAAACTGGAAATCATGAAATGGGCATTCACCTGGCCACTGAGTTTCGTCTTATACTTTACTGTCCCCAACTGCAACAAGCCCCGCTGGGAGAAATGGTTCATGGTGACGTTTGCTTCTTCCACCTTGTGGATTGCAGCCTTCTCCTACATGATGGTGTGGATGGTGAGGGCATGGAGGATGGCGGATGTTGCTAGATCTCTTACAGAGAAAAGCACACTAAAGTAGAGGAGAATTAAAGCTGAGGCTTCTGCCAGTAACTGTATCCTATCATAAACAGCATAACAAACCAGCCCTAAACTCATTGGCTTAGAACCCCAAGCATTCATTCTGCTCTTACATCTTTGGTTTGAGTGATTTGATTCATCTTAGCTGGGACTAGCAAGTTAACAGGCTGTTACATTTGATTCAGGCAACAGATTGGATCCATGTCTATTCTGTTTACTCCTTTTTTCTTTGGGCCAATAGTGACCTGGAAATGTTTCTCTCAGGGTGACTGGAATGCAGGAGGCCAAGTGGAAACACTAGGCGCCCCCTTGAGGCTTCCATTGGGACTGACTGACCATTACTTTTTCCCACACTCCTTTAGCCAAGCCCACTATTCCTGAGTGGGGAAAACAGGTTCTACCCACCACAGTGGAGGCGCAGCAGGATCACAGGCAAAGGGCCTGCTGGAAAGTGACGATCTGGGAAGTGATGGTGAATCTCACCCTTCCCCTAGCTTCAAAGTCTTAATGAAGTACAAACCTAGTTCGTTGCAAGTAGAGTTAGATAGAAATTAAAAGCCATGGCAAAACTGTAAAAATTCAATTAACATGCTTGAGTATTGGGCACACTCAAGGAACTAAAAAGAAAAGTTTCTGAAAAGATTATGTTGAAGATAAGAGCAAATTTATACACTTGATACTATATTGAATTCTCACCCCTGGCCTTAGCAGTCATTTTGCTGTTTGGAAGGTCTGATAAGTTGTAAGAAAATGGCTGATGGGAAAGGAAAAAAAACAAACAAAACAAAACAGGAGGAGTTAGAGACCTGGACCTCGTGGGCAACCAGTTCCCCCAGCCCTCCATACTCAACCACAAACATCATAATAACACCAAAAGTGCAGCAGGTCACTCCTAGATGAGCCAGAGACAGATCCTCAGGGACATTACTGAGGGTTAGGAAAGAAAGACATGGTTTGGCCAAGATGCCAGTCATTCCATTTTACAAAGGCTCCTCAGAACAACAAAATAGAAAGGTCTGTTGCCACCTCTCCTTTCTTCCCTGGAGACTAGAAGTTAGAAGACTGTGGCCACTCCAGGTTAAATTCAGCTCTGAAAGGACATGAAAGACACCCCCTGCCTTGGAAAGGAGTGAGCTAAGTCCCCCAAACTTTTGGACAGGGAAAGAGCAATCAAAGCATTTGGGAGTGAAATCAGCTCTCCTGAGGAGGTGTCTCTTTCAACAGCTGCCCCAGGAGTTATTGTAAGAAAAACATGTTCCGTAAGACAGCTGGTTTGTGCTTCTTGTAATTTTATAGAAAGGGACAATGGTGTCCTAAAATACCCTCAGTAGTTGCATCTTAGAAATCCCTTTTCCTCAGGCCCACCTGCAGGGAAATTGTCTCCTTTTTGCCTTACCTGTCATTTGCTACAGCTCCTTTATCATCTCTCACGCAAATGTGTTCAGCCTCATCAGGAAATCAGGGGGCCACAGTGGGCTCATCTACAGAATGCAATCTCAGGTATACCAGCTTCCTCCCTTTGCCCCAGTTCACACACAGAGAGAGAAAGAGAGAGAGAGAGAGAGAGAGAGAGAGAGAGAGAGAGAGAGACCAAACCGCTGCCTATCTAGTGAGCCCATCTGGCTTGGAATGTTTTCTGTCCCTTCCCAGTGTGACCTGGGCAGGTGCGTCCCTGGGCCTCAGTATCCTCACCTGGGAAATAGGAAAAGCATAACTCATCCAGATAATTGAGTTACACCAAAGCCAGTCAATCAGTAAGAGACTGTGACAAAGAAGAGGGATGCTGATCAGCAAGATGACATTGTCACCAGGGAATGGAGGATGGGAAAAGCTGACTGTGGCTTTCTGACAAGACCAGAAAAATGTGTAATCCAGCCCCTTTCTATATCTTGCTTCTTCCCACAGTGATCTGCTGATGAGCATGCTTAAGTTCCTAGCATCCCAGATTTCCCAGAACCACCCTGAGTTCAAATATTGTGTCCTGCTTCTGTCTGGTCCTTAAAAGTCTAGTACTAGGAGGGTGTCAGTGGTGCACACCTATAATCCTAACTACTCAGGAGGCTGAGAGCTGAAGGATGGTAGTTCAGGACCAACCCAGCAGAAAATCTGAGACCTTTTTTAAAAAATAAACAGCAAAAAGCAAGGCTGGAGGCTTAACTCAAATGGTATAACACCACCCTAGCAAGCACAAGACCCTGAGTTTAAACCTTAGTACCAGCAAAAAAAATAATAATCTAGTCCCTCAGACAACTTATATCATCTGAAAGGAACAAATGCAAAGGGAACTTGAATCTGGCAAGTGTGGATTCTTTTAAGTGTAGCATCTGGTGGTCCACCACCCTTGTCTTAGCCCCAGGATGTTCATTGTCCCCTATGTTGATAGAGCAGAGCTCTATGGTCCAGGTTGGAACCTTTTCTGTGTTTTAATGAAAGGAAGGCTGGCAGGAAGGATTCCCAGGTCCCTTACCTCAGACCTCTTCCTGCTTCTGCCAGGTCACGATCATTGGTTATACTCTGGGAATTCCTGACGTCATCATGGGAATCACTTTCCTGGCTGCCGGAACCAGTGTGCCTGACTGCATGGCCAGCCTCATCGTTGCCAGACAAGGTGGGACCTCTGGGGATAATAAGAATAAAAAGAAAGAGAGGAAGGGAAAGAGGAATGAAAGGGGAGGGCAAAATGGAGGGAGGGAAAGAAGGAAACAAGAAAGAAGAAAGGGAAAGAAAGAGGGAGGGGAGGAGAGAACAAGAGAGAGAGGGAGGAGGAAGGGACCCAGGGAGGGAAGGGGGAAGAAAAGATCTTTCTATGAGAGCGAGAGAGAGTCAGGTCAGGCCCACGTGGCAGCTGATGGGGCACAAATGCCATTTAGAAGGAATGGCAAATAGCCTGAATGCTGAGTACATTAAAGGCTTCCTGAGATAAGAACAGGGGAAAACGCCAGAAGGTTCTACCCTCGAAGAAAGCAGGATGTTTTCCTAGGCAGCACCCACAAGTCCTCTGGTTGCATTGTTGAAAATTGTAATAAATCCAGTGATCGCTAACCTTTTCCAAGTAAGGCATTTTAGGTGTCCCAGCATTTGAACAACTCTGTGAGATAGGACACACATACTTCCATTTCATGGATGACGGAATGAAAGCCTAGAGAGCAGTGAATGCCACATCAAAGGTTTACCCAGATCACACCTCACAACGCCGCAGCTGCTGGAGCTCAGTTTTCAGCATATGACAGACCCTTCTCTCCTTCGAACTGTGCTGCCAGCAGGGTGCTGGTGGCTCACACCTGTAATCCTAGCTATTCAGGAGGCTAAGAGCTGACGATTGCAGTTCAAAGCCAGCCTGGGCAGGAAAGTTAATGAGACTCTTATCTCCAATTAACCACCAGAAAACCAGAAGTGGAGCTGTGGCTCAAAGTGGTAGAGTGCAAGTTAGCCTTGAGTGAAAGAGCTCAGGCCTCCTTAGTTCAAGCCCCACAACTGACAATAAAAGGGGGGAGCCTCCCATCCCCATGTGGACATTTTTGATGGCCATGCTCGCGGTCACTTAGGTGCCTGATGTATGCTGGAGACATTTACTTTACATCAGTTCATTGTGCAGCTACAGAACTTACCAGTGTCCTCTAAACATCCTCACAAAACTACTGACTGCATTATCTTGATACTACTCAATTTCTCACAAGAACTGCATTTGGTTCAGAGCAGTCAGAACATGCTGCTAAAATGTAAAATGCATACGTTGATAAGCTTTTGAGCCACTGTATAGACTGAGTCCATTCCTTCTAGAAGCATGGCTCAATACCTTCACAGAATATTTCTTTTTTTAATCACTTATATTGAATCAGTGATCACATTTGAAGTTGAAGTTCAATAGCCCCATCAACTGTGTGTTTATGTATTTTACAATCTGTGTCATTTCATGTATCAGTGTATATAGCCCAGCAAAATGGCTTTCCAGTCATCAGACCAAAGACTGGGGAAAGTCCAATGCCCCCCCTCCCCTCCTCATATAAGTGTCTTCTGGTTCTTGCAGGAATGGGGGACATGGCTGTTTCCAATTCCATTGGGAGCAATGTGTTTGACATCTTAATCGGCCTCGGTCTCCCCTGGGCTCTGCAAACTCTGGCTGTGGATTACGGATCCTACGTAAGTGGTGTCCTACATAAAGTTTCCTTAAATCCAGAACCACCTCATCTCAGCTTGTAAGGCCCTTGGCCATGGAGACTCTCTTAGGGAGAGGAGATGTGGTGTAGAAATAATAATGTTGAAAAGAAAGCAAATCATTCTTGTCAACATCCTTCCACACACGCTCATGGGACATTTGGAACTCTAGAGCAGAGGCAGGCAACTTTTTTCTATCAAGAGCCAATATAGTAAGTATCTTGGTCATCGTGATCATGGGATAGAGAGTCTCAGTCACAGCCACTGACAATACCGATGTGAGAGGAAGCAGCCCCAGAGAGAGCATAGTGGTTTCAAGACAACCTATTTATACAAACTGAAATCAGAATGCTTTTAATTTTCATGCCATGACATATTATCTTTCATTTGATTTTTTCAACCATTAAAACCAATAAACTATTCAATCATCCTCTCTTTGGGGGTTTTTTGGAAAGTAGTGCTGGACTTTGAACTCAGAGCCTTATGTGTGCTTGCTAACACATCATTTTGGACTCTTCCTAACAGAAATTCAGGCACTGGCTTATTCCATCATGTGGTTCTCTCATCGTGGAGTTTTTCTTCTCTAGTTACACCAAAGGCAGAGAAAGAAAAGGCATGAATGATAGTACAGATCATCTTTTAGTGAGAATTAGAAGTGGCTTTTGTCCTCTCTGACTCCATTCTTACTGCTGAACCACACCTCTAACCCTTTTCTTACTTCCTTACTCAGGCATTGCCTGGACTAAATCCATCTATTTTATGAGTTACATCCTAACTGGGATAACTGTGCCCAGCTCCTAGCTGGGCTCTCAGAAATTTTCCTACCAAGGCTGGCCACATCCTCCCAGATGGAACTGTGCCAAGTGTCTAGGATTATAGGTGTGAGTGCAAATTGTAGTCACTCTTAAGTCATGATCTGTGTAGAATGAGTTGGTGGGACAGATTTGGTTGCTGAGACACAATTTGCCAGTCCCTATTCTAGTATGTTTGAACTTGCTTTATCTTCTTTTGTGTGCCATGATGCATGTTAAGATATACTGAAGAGATGCATCCAGGTTGGCCTCTAAAAAGGTGTCTGCCGTTGGTTGGTTACAGGATTAAAGGACCCTCCTAAAACTTGTAATCTAAAGAGTGAGACTGTTGTCTCGCTTTTGTGAATAGATCCTTGCCAACCAAATTCACAAGAATTTGATGTTATCAAATACTTAAGTACCAGGCAGAGGGGATATTTATTTGGGTAATTTTTTTCTCTATATTTCTGGAGAAAAAATTCTCACATGGGAGCTATTTTTGGTGTCCCATGAGCATTCTTAAGTGCAGTGAGTGACCCACCAGTAACATGCACAGCAATCAATACCAAGTTATGTTCATGGATAAAATTTATTATAGCAAAAGGTGTGGGATAAAGGCAGCAAAAGCATGAAATACAAAGAGGTCAGGTACAGGATTCCAGTCCCTTCCCTACTGGGTTCTTTCTAGCAGTGAACTACAGGGATTTATGTGAGATGTCTGCTTAGAAAAGACCCCTGGAGTCTGAGGCTTTTGGGGGAGGAGTGATCAATTCTTCACTAAGAACAGCTGTAGGAACTGACTCTCAGAGTACCAGCACAGAGACAGAGTATGCTTTATAAAGCTTCCTAGGCAAGCTGGTGAAGCCTGGCCCTTTGCTTCATTTATATAAAACAGCATCATCAGTCAGTCATGTTCTGAGGTGCTACCTTTTCAGGATTTGCTCTGCCTCCCCCCTGGCCCCAGACTGGAGCTGCATTAACACCTCTGCATAGATGATCAAATACTCTTCAATTTGTTAGACTGGCAGTGCTTGCTACTATGTTACAACTCCCAGTATCTTGCTGCTGGAGTAATCCAGCAGTGGTTTCTTCTTCAAACTCTGTGCAGCAGAAGTTCCTCTTCCAAAGGACTCTTGCCAACAGAAACTCTGGCATTGGGGCTTATTCCATCTTGCAGATCTATCATCTGGGAGTCCTTCTTCTCTGACTAAACAAAAATCAGAGAAGGAAAAGACATGACATATTGGACAGATCATGTTTTGCTCAGAGCTAGAATCTGTTTATGTCTTCTCTGTCACCATACAATAGTCCAACTAAGTCATAGTACTCACCTAGACACAAGAAAGAATGAATCATGTAACTGTGGATCACAGACAGGTATCTATGTTACCAGGAAAGGGAGGAGAGGCAGGTGGTAGTGAATGCTAGCAGGCTCTCTAGTCTCATTCATGTGATGGAGAATAGAATCCAAGCAAAAGGAATCTAGCAAGAAACCTTTCCTGCAGCTGGCATATTGGAGCGTTTCTCTCTCTGCCACATAAGCAGAACACTCATGAGCCTGACATGCTGGGTCACATGTGGACCACCTGTCCTTTCTGTTAGTGTATCTTTCCTGTTCTCAAGCTGAGAGCAGTAGTATTAATTAGTAGTTTAACTATCAATAGTTTAAATATCATTAAACTACTTGTCATTTTGTTATAATAAGAGTTCTTCCAGGGGCTGGAAAGGTGGCTCAGTGGAAGAGTACTTGCCTTGCATGCATGAGGCCCTGGGTTCGATTCCTCAGCACCACATAAGCAGAAAAAGCCGGAAGTGGCACTGTAACTCTTAAGTGGTAGAGTGCTAGCCTTGAGCTGAAGAGCTGAGGGACAGCGCCCAGGCCCAGAGTTCAGGCTCCACAACCAACCAAAAAAAAAAAAAAATTCTTCCACTGCTGAAAAATCTCTTGAAGTTTATCTACAACTGGCTATGTGGACCTTTTTTTTAATCTTGGGGTCAAAGTAACTTGTGCTTTATAAAAGAAAGCTCTGGGGTGGTGCTTGCAAGGAGGAACTTTCTATAATGATGGAAATAGTCTACAGCTGCATTAGCTAACACAGTAGCCAGATACTACACCATGGAAAAGGTGTACAGTGTAATAATAGAACTGAGGATTAGACCTCCCATTGCATTCGTACAAGCTTTCAGCAAACAGTTCTGTTCATGAGTTAGGGGAACACTAAACATCCACTAAGATGGGGGTATGGATGGCTTCATAATTATGATACCCCTTCAAGACCATACTTTATATAAACAGTTCCATGTTTTTGTGGTTTGAACTCAGGACTATGTGTTTCCTAGGCAGACACTCTCCCACTGAGCTCCACCTCCCACCTGTTTCAAGGCTTTAAGAAGAGACAGAATGTCTCACGAGCGAAGGGTAGAAATGAGAGATTCCTGGTTCCATACTTCAGGCCTCCCTTGTCATCGGTTCAACCCCACCACCCTCCAGCCTGCTTGCCCCACTCTGACAGAAGGCCTGAAGTTAACATGTCCTAGCCTCCTTAGAAAGCATGACTGACCCTATGTTAGTACTTAGTCTTCCTGAGCAGTGTAGCCAATAAAGATGCTCCTTCGCCTAGCTAAATTCTAGCTCACCTACAACCCACTAACACGTAATCCCAACTGCTTTTGGTTTCCTCTGTTGATGACTAGAGCACAGTAGCTAAAACACAGACAATGAATGGGTGCTATTCTATGACCCAGCTCATGAATCAGCAATACATTTTTATCACATTGACTCTTCAGCAAGAGATGTACAGGTAGGACAGGGGATGAGATTCTCTGTGTTAGTCTGGTGGATTACCTGACACAATCAATTTGTGAAGAGAGAAGGTTTGTTTGGATATATGGTTCTACGGTTTCTAATCCAAGGTCAGGCCTCTGGTGAGGTCATGGCATCGTGGTGGGAGCTCATGGCAGGGCACTCTGCTCACCTTGGGAAGCAGAACATAGAAGAAGAGCAAAGACAAACTAAGTTTCCACAATCCAATCAAGATCAGGTGCTGAAGGACCTATTGGGCCTAATGATCCATAGCACCCTCCCAGAACTGAGCCTTCACACATAGCCCTCTAGGATCTCTTGGTTTTTATTTTATTTTTTTATTTTAATTTATTTCCTTTTATTTTTGTCAGTCATGGGACTTGAACTCTGGGGCCTGAGTGTTTTCCCTCAGCTCTTCAGCTCAAGGCAAGTGCTCTACCACTTGAGCTACAGCACCACTTCCAGTTTTCTGGGGGTTTATTGGAGATAAGAGTCTCACGGACTTTCCTGCCCAGGCTGGCTTTGAACTGTGATCCATCTCAGATCTCAACCTCCTGAGTAACTAGGATTATAGGCATGAGCCACCAGCGCCCTGCTTTATTTTTTTATTGCAGTTACACACAGGAAAAGTTATGGAAGGTAAAATCAAAAACTTTAAAAAAACAAAATCAAAGATGATCCTAGAAGCAAACCAATTCTTCTTGCGACCTTTGAACTTTTCCTGAACATGGATGTCAGGCCTAAAATTCCAGCTCAGTTGATCCACTGTCTATGATAAACAATTCCCTTAGTGGCCTACCCTCATCTCCTCTCTTCTGGCATTCTCCCAACACACTCTAGAGGACAGAAAATTAAACACATTGTCACAACAGTAATTTCTACAGCTATGAAAACACACTTTTTCCAGGTCTCATTAGCTAATCACAGTGTGATATCATGAAGACAAAACTTCAGTCCCTATTAATTGTTTGGCACAAATGTATGCTTTCCATCTGAAGATGACACAATGGGGTCACTGGTCATTCCTCTGAAATTGTACAATAACTACAGCTAGCCCTGTCATGGAAGATCTCCTTCATCCTTGAACTAGAGGGAAAAAGGCAGGGAAACCAGATGTCTGTGACAATAACTATGGCAGCTACGGTGTACAACAATCCTCTTGGGAGAAACTTTGCCTGGGAAGATTCTAGAGAAAGTTAGGTCAAATTGCATTTTCTTCCATATGCTGCTATTTCTGTAACCAGTGCAGGAAAGATTTTCATTTTTTTTCCATAAATGCAAACAACTAATATAGACCTCTCTTTTAAAAACAGAAATGAGGGATCTGATAATCAAAAGTTCATGAGCCCCAGGGGAATGAATAATTCGTTTTTTATATTGTGGGAGACAGG